GGTTCTAATGCAAAGTAAACTTATCTTTCTGATCAGTTATTTTAAGGTTGTAACTTTTATCAAATGGGTGTTTTTACTGACTAGACTCGGTGTAGTTCTGTGTTTTCTATTAAAAATGAGACCAAATTTGAAGAACATAAAGGAGGAACCTACCAACACTGTTAGCAGGAGTCATGCACAAGACAGAACCTGTGTGGTTATGAAATACAAAGAGAAAAGGTTTTTAAGCATGGCACATTTCAGTTTAAACAGACCTTTAAATCTCATATTGGGACCAAACCAAAAACATCAGGTCCTTACAAAGTCTTCAAAGTAGGTTAATATTTATTTATTTAGCAAAATGCTTGAGCAGAGCTAGAAAAAACATCAAAAGTAAGAATAAATTAGCATAATCGTTGTCAAGAGTATCTCTCTTTACTGTGGAGGAATCTTGAACCAGTTGTTTACCTCGTCACTCCAGTTTGTCGACATTTGCAGGCATTTTTTTGTGCACGGCCATTTTAAAGTCCAAGGCAACTGCACAGCACTTTTGTTCTTTTAGTGACACATTTGCAAGAATGCGTTTCGGATAAATTTCTACCTGTTGCATGTTCAAGTTTTAACACTGCATTTTTAAAGGCATTATTCCAGAAGTCTTTTTGTTTGTCCAGATATGACTTTGCTAAACTAAGCTAAGCTAAGCCAGGTTCTTCTTCCTCCAAACAAAGAAAACTTGTTCAATCTTTATCTAGTTGCACATGCAGAGTCTAATGTGTCTCTCTTGAGTTCGCTGCGGTTTCTCTTTGACCTTAGTGGGACTCCCACTCCTGGGACCACTGCCAGCTGTCATTAGTGTGTTTACCTCCTTCCCAAGACTCATGGGCAGCAATTATTGCTTTTCTAATATCATCACTGATGTTTTTTTCGTCTTGACTTTGTGTTAAGCCATACACAAATAATCTAAAATAAATTTTCAGAATTTCTGCCTGTATATAGAAACCTACATCTGCTGATGCTCGGCTAATTAATTAGCAGCACCTGGCTGCT